CTCCATTTGTGCGAAAATTCCGTTTGCGATAATCTTAGCCGGGACGGACTCCCGAGCTGCCAGAACTTTCGAGATCACCCCGTTCGGAGGACTGCACCAGCTCGTTTGCAGTTCCATCGCTGGAGGCTGGAGCCCGGATCAGCCGAATCGAATTTCGTCAACTCGCCAGGCTGGCCGACTCATTTCACCCCGAGATTGCCTTTGGAGCAAGAACACGAGTGGCCAGTATTGCTGTACCGTCGACGGCGCTTTTCCGCCATCTGTGGCAGTCAGCGGGAATACGTCGTCGTCTGATTGCGATGTTGCCGAGATGTTTGGGAGCCCGTGGAAAACCGCGAAAACACTGGAAGCACGAAGTCTCCTTGGAACGAGAACATTTCATGCCATCCCTCATAGAACATGAGAAGGTTCTGAGAGCTAGGGTATCGACGAGATCTACCCGGAGAGAATTCGACTGGAAACATCGCCGGAATATTCGATGCCTCTCCAGAACACGGGATGCTAAAGGTACTCGCGGAAGGAATGACGCAGAATCCTAATTAGAAATGAATAGGTAGTTTTTCTCGTGTGGAGCCCTTCATGCGGGCTGAAAGTTTATTTTTGGTTTCAGATTTATGATGTTGCACCGAACGAACTCCATCTCAGTTTCTTCAATTGTTCGCTATTTACAGACGACAGACGATTTGTTGTAATAATAATATTATTAATATTTCGCGCTCATAATAATAATATTACCTATACAGTCTAGCTGAAATTACTTTCTCCCTTGCTCGTGTCTCTCCGTACATTGTTCCGTCAACTTCGTCTTTATCATTATCATTCTTTATTCGGAATCCATCCTGTCTCTCCTTGCTTTAAGTCGTCTTTCCGGACAAATCCACAAATTCGTAAACCTACCGACGACCGCACGACTCGACGAAGAACGCCGCTCGCGTGCCTGACACGTCTCTGTGTGGGTTTTCTGTGCAGCACGGCACACATGAACGAACAAACAAACAAACGAACGAGTTTTAATTACCTCAAGATTTCGTTATCGGAGCACACTCTCTAGGACAGTCGAAATATCCGCTGGCCCGGTATAGCGAAAACGATACTCCATCACGTTACGGCATGGGAGCGCTCACCGACATTCGGCCACGATGGCGCGACTGTCAGTGAATAATGATGACTGAATAATTTTTTTTCAAAATTTCCATGTCCTTGATCTTGATCGGGATTAGATTCAAATATCTTTCGCATCTCGTGGTCGGGGCTTCAACTCCTCAAAAAATGGATTTTCGCTTTCAGCGTCTGCATGTCGGCCGCTCTGTCTCTGAGTGTCTGTCTGCATGTGCGAAGCAAGAGCAGAAGGAGCACTAGCAATAATGAGGGTCCGAAGTTTAGGTCTTGGAATGTGCCGTATGGATATCATCATTTGTCTCCTATTATTGTCCAGCTGATGTTCTCGTAGCGGTAGCTGCGGTGGCGGCGATGTCGGAAGAGCGGCGGCTGCGATGGTAGTGGTAGTGAAGGTCACCTCGAGTCCATCTTCAGTATTTACAATTTGTATAGTCCATACATTCAGCTCGTGGATTCCTCTTTCGCTCTTTCGCTTGAAAATCCCTCCTCGCAAGTCCTCGTGTCTGTTTGCTCGCGCTGCTCCCCTGTCCGTCTGTATGTTGTATATATGTTGGTCTGTCCGTCTGTCTGTATGTATGTATGTGTGTATGTATGGCTGTCTATCTATCGGTCCTCCTGTCTGTTTGTCTGTCTGCTCGTGTCTCCACTGTTTTTCCGTTCCCCCTGGTGTGTGTTATTACATTGTCTTCTCTTTTCTCCTCTATCGCATTGTATTGTACAACAGAAGCACCCGAAACGAGTACCGTCGGGGCGCGCCGTTCACAACCCGTGCAACAGAAAGCTGAAGTAGGTAGTTGGCTGAGACTGCAGGGCCGCGGCAACGCCGAACGACGTTGGCGCGCGCGATGAACGAGTCTCTGCCTGCCTTCGACGAATCTTCGAAGCATGTGGTAGATCACGTACTATTCTCCCTGGTTGGCTGACTGACTGACTGACTGGCTGTCTATCGCGATGCTGGTGTGTTTGGAAATAAAGCCGAAAACCGATAGAACGAGAAGAGGAAAATTTTCGTCGACGGCAGCGGGGATGTACGAATGACGGACAAACCAAGCAGCCAGCCAGCCAGCCAAGAAACCAAGCAGCAACGAAGAGGGAGGAAGGCAATCGAATGAAATACCACCAGCGGGCTCCTGGTGGCCGTCTTTGGTCTGAACGGCGCGCCAAAGATCACATGGATGAAGCACTCCATCCCAAAGAAAGGAGTACTAAAGGAACCTGAACTCCTGAGCCATCGAGGTGAGATCTGAGGCTCATGTTGGAGAGATAGATGTGAATTGCCTGTTTTCATTTTTGGTTCTTCTCGAAGTGTGCCAAACTCTGCTGCACAAATCCCGACAACTCGGACGAGTCGGCCAATATATAGAGGCTACGATTGGAAAAAATTTAACTGGCTACGTACTTATCATCAACCGATTTTAAGTTTTCTCATCTCCTGTGGGTTTCTGTCGCTCGTCACACTCGCAGACTCGGCAGCCTTTCCGCGGCAATCCTCATACATTTCTCCGACTCGGGGCACCAGCTGAATCGGCGCTTGCCCGGCAGAAGCCCGTCAATCGTGAGACGAAACGGCTCAAGCCGTCGTCAGTCAGATTATTAGAGGTCGGCTCGCTCCGGTGATCAGCCTGTCCGTCGGTCGGTCTGTCCGTTTGTTTGTCTGCCCTATTGCACTGGGGAAATTTCAGCCGTTCCAATGTACAGGGATATATCATCAACTTTGAGGAGACTGGTGGCGGGGACCCGGGTCGGGGAACTTTGTCCGCCGTCGAAGGCTTCGCATCTCTCGCAGCAGAGAATCAGCTTTCGCAGCTTTCGAGAGGCGTTTCTAGGGACATCGGTCCGACGCTCGCTATCGGGAACGATCCGACGGGAAGATCCGGCAAGTTTGGGTCTAGGCCCCAGGTTTCACACGGGAGCTCCATCGACTTGGATGATGGATGAAAGTCCTTGCACGGGATCGCTCGTTTTTCCCCGGACCCTTCAGGTACGGCCCGTGACGCGTCGTCTCCTCTCGCTTGTCTCAAGTCATGGTACTCCTCTTACTCGTATCGACGGTGAGGTTGATTCTTTCCAAGTCTCCATAGTTTCCATTGCTCTATTTTGACATTTATACACAGGGGTTTTGTACAGCACAGAGTGTCTGTAGCACTTGTTGTATTCATTCGCGGTAGGTAGTAATTGTAGTTTTGGAACTTGTAGTAATCGTACTTTTAGCAAGATCTGCCATACTAATTCCCACTGTAGTTCTTGCTCTATCTCCTTCGTTCAACATCTTTCCGTCGCTGCTTTCATTGACGTTGAAGCTACGGAAGAGAAATTGCGATTTTCGCTGCGCGCACCTCTCCGAGTTTGGTCCCTCGGCAAAAGACGGAGGTTTCTCAGGGAATCATTAAACAGAACTAATCATCGTATTGCAGTCTTTTCGCTAGCGAGAACCTGTTCGTAGCGTCGGTTTCGTTGTTGTTGCTGCTGCTGGTGTTTCTGCTGATAGTCTTGTTGGGCAACGTTGACGTTGTCGTTCAATCGGATAGGTAACGGTGTTCTTGACTTTTTAGCTTCGTTGGCTGACGATTTGCAGTGTCGCTCTCATGTCGCTTGCTGTTAGCTCTGATTCCAATCAGGTTGAGGCTTCCTTGTTTGTCCAGGTGATTTTGATGCTGGTCATCTAACGACGACCATCAACCGACCGATGGATTTATCCATCGATCCATCAATCAATCAATCGTTTGGAGTAAGAAGTTGTAAGGGCCAGGCTGCTGCTGCTATAATAGGCCGGAGGCGAACGACACATGGATCGATATTCACAGAACTCATTCAAAGATCTGCCGCAGTCTTCTGCTTCTTGATTATCAGCGAGTCTGAACAGCCCGATGTTTTTGGCTGGAACTTTCCCGCGAGGCTAACTACGAGCTCCGAGCGGCATTCAGTCGAAGGATTGTCGATATGCCACAAACGTAGTCAGCTCGTACTTTTCACCTACAGGGTTCGTATGAGTCGAAAAAGCGACAAACCACGCTGGTGTTTGTTGAACTCTGGTCGGGCAAGCGGGCGGGCGGGCGTTTCAGCCGGCCAGCAGGCAAACTATCTGGATGGATAAGGAGCCGGCTGGCCGGCTGATTGGCCCGAGGCTCGGCTGAGTGACCGACGAGCGAAAGGGTGAAAGATCGTCGTCATTACCATTCACTCATCGGTCAATCGCGAGAATGTACGTTGATGTGGATTTTAACGAGACGGCGCTCGATTCCTGCTCGCTCGCTTGCTTGCTCGACTGACGATTGCATTGCATCTACGAGTGATGAACTTCTGTCCGACGATTTTAAGTTCACGGTTGTTGGCGTTTCCAATCCCGAGGTCTCGGTCTGCCAGGAGGGTTGAGAGGGCTCGCACCCCGGCGGCCACGAGGTTTTCCACCTTATCGGAGCTGATGGCGTTCACTCCGTCTGGTTCCGATGTAGTAGAACCTGCCTTGCCTTCGTCCTGCTGCTCTTGTATCTTGGATTGCTCCCAATGGTTGTAAAAGTTGTGCTTCCCATTGGTGCGGAACGGATGACGACGAGATCGCGAACTTCGGTCGTCAAACCGAAATCCGGTGGTCTGTCGATTCCATTCTCGTCCATCCGTCCGTCCGTCCGTTCGTCTGTCTTTCAGTCAGTCGCTCACTTGTCCTTCGTCGATCCGACAACCGTTGGCTTGGGTCATCCGATCAAGCGAATTATTGTTCTCTATAGACTCGACTGTCTTTCCGACGACGACGACGACGGATCCAAGGGACTAGTTGACTGAGCAGGAGGCGTCGGCTGGCTCGTTGCTTGTTGCTGGTGGAGGACCTCGTGATGATGGTGATGATGATGATTGAAGAATGGGCCACCGGGGTAGAGCGGAGGTCAGTGAGCAGCCAGCGATTGGTGTGGGCCCAGCGAGTGTAGATGACTCTGATGGTGCAAAGCCATTGCGGCATGGGCTGCTGCTGCACTGTGGGGACTGTGGTGATGATGATGGTGGGATGGGGGGGGCGAAGGATGGTTCAGGTGGTGGTGCTGCATCGGCAGGTGGTGGTCGGAGCTGGCCGGCGAGCAGGGGGAAGTTGACATAAGCAAATGGTCAGGAGTACCCGTAGAACCGGGACCACCGTTAATAGGAGGCGTCATACGCTTCTCCTTTTGACGACGATTGCAGAACCACACTCTAACCACCTCCTTCTCCAACTGCAGGCTGTCGGCCAGACTCGCTATCTCCTGGGCAGACGGCTTGGGCTGCTTGTGGAAATGCGACTCAAGAGCGCCCTTAACCGAAACCTCGATGCTTGTCCTTTTTTTCCGCTTGCGACCCTGGGCAGCAATCTTATCGATGCTGGTTGGCGATCCGGTAGTGCTGTCCGCCTCCTCAAGCCACTTAGCAAGCAGAGGCTTGAGCTTGCACATATTCTTGAAGCTTAACTGTAGCGCTTCGAAGCGACAAATCGTCGTCTGACTGAACACGTTACCGTAAAGGGTTCCTAGAGCCAGGCCTACGTCGGCCTGGGTAAATCCGAGCTTTATCCGTCGTTGTTTGAACTGTTTCGCAAACTGTTCCAGGTCGTCCGAACTAGGAGCTTCTTCTTCGCCGCTCTCAGGACCACGGGGATCACCCAATAGCCTTGAATGTAGCGGGGACAAATCGTTGTGGATTGATGTCGGGGTTGGCGATGACAACGCACCGCCCCCGCTCAGCTGTGAAGTCACCTGGTCGGAATGAGATGGGACCGATTCGCGACCGCTCATGTGTCCACCGAGATGGCCGCCGCCAAGGTTGCCGCCGCCGCCACCACCTCCGCCGCCGACGCCCAACATCCCGTACACTCCGGCGGCTACGGCGTTCTGTTGAGCGGCTGCTGCGGCTTGTTGGTGATGGTGATGGAATGCAGGTGGCGGCGAATGACCAGCTGCGGCAGCTGCTGCCATGTGCCAGCCGGCCATCGCTTGCGCCTGCGCTGCTTGCGCCTGGCGGTGGTGCGCGAGCGACGTCGGCATGTCCATTTGGCCTGTGGGGGGCTTTATATCCTGGATTGCGGGCCCCCACATCGATTCCATGGCCCATTGGTGATGCTGTTGCGGCGGCATGTATTTCAACTCGGGGGGTTCTCGGCCGTAGCTTTGCGTTTGAGCCATATTTGAAAAGTGCGATAGACTCGAAACGGCGCTAGTGGCCAAGTACGGATTCGATCCGGTCGCCATTTGATCGGCGGCGTCCTCGCTGTCGCGTTCCGTCTTAACTTCGACTGCACCGCCGCCGCCGCCGCTGTTTTTCCACCAATCTAACTCCAACGTGGCGACAGATTGGGGGATCTGCTGGAGGAGACACCTTCGATCGATCGGCGGAGACCGCCAGAAACTCCACGTCTACCTCGCTGACGTCGGAGACTTCGACGGAATCGGCAAGCTATTGAAGCGCTGCTGAACAGGAGCCCGCGATAGGCGGCCACCGTCTTCGCCGATTGCTCGCTTTGTCTTCGCAAACGACAAGGTCTCTCAGTCAGAGGCACTTTGCGGTCGGCTTCGATCCGGTAGAGTAGGTTAGAGATGTTGAACGATGACGATGTTGCACTAGTACGGGCTTGTCAAAACCCACCGAAGACTATCATCAGAAAAACGAAAATCAACGACGTAGTATCTGTCGCCGTCACTTCACCCGCACCACTACTGCTGGGCGGCGGCGGCGGCGACGACGACGACGACCACAACAACGCGCGCACTTCGATGTTTTCGGCGATGCACGAAAGTTACTTCTCAAGACGTCATGGACGACGGTCCTTGTTAGCAGCACTAGCAGTCACTCAATACGTTGACGGGCGAGTCTATCTCTGGTCGGTCTCTGCCGCTTAGAAGCCGAATACGGTCGGGGGACGGTGGTCACACGACCGACCGATCGATCACCCGGAGGATTGATCGAAGGATCTCGGGTGGATTGATCGATCAATCGATTGTTGATCCACGAAACTTCATGAAAGTCACTCTCCTTCACTTGTCCACACCTCTCTAGCTGCTGCGGCGAGATGTAACATGGCAGTAATCGTCATCACGGCGGCGGACACCAAAGAGTCCAGACTCTGAATAATTCGACACCAGTTCCGTGATGCACTCTCTGTGTTCACTTTCCTTCGTCAGGTAACGATTTCTTTCGCGTGAGAGCGGTCCAATTGATCCGATGGTCGGACGTCGATGCACACATGAACACACAATTTCACGAGCACTAGATTATTACCGAGCGATGTTTGTATGTGTGTGTTTGTGCTGTTTTTCTCTGTTGTCTGTGAGCTTCTCGCAGCTGGTGCAGATGATCCCAGCCTGACTGGCAGCTATCATGGATGCCTGCCGGCCTGCCCGCCCGGCTAGTTCACTGACAGACTGGCTGGCTGACTGAATGACTGACAGACAGTCACTTGTGTGTTGTTGCTCAGATGAGCCGACGCGATCAGCAGCGAAGCTTCGACATCACTATCGTTGCCAGTCGTTTCCATTCCGACTCGTGCGTGATCGCCACTAGGGGCCGCCAGCTCCGCTGCGGTGCTCATTGGCAGACCTCGAGCCGACGTCACCGATGGGCGGATCGAGAGGCGGGTCAACGAAGCTCACCAGCCGCTCACTGAGAGACACTCACACGGCCCCACACTCGCTCGCTCGCTCGCATCCTGCCGAGTGGGAGCGCAAAAGAGCGAGCTACCGTCAGACCGAGCTAAAAGGAGAACACACAAGAGAAGGAGAACGAGCGAGAAAAGAGGCACCACCACTGCTGCCGTCGCTTCTGCTGCTGCCACCAAGAAGGAACTCCGCTCAACGGAGGCCGTAGGACTCCGACCAAGGAGAACGGATGGGAGGGATGGAAACAGACAGCAGCGGCACACACTCAGCCAACTCTCGTTCAGCGGCACCCTCCCTGAGCCCCCGACTCCCCTCACCCTCCGTGGTGGGTACCCCTTCGAGACGACGACGACGACGACGAGAAGCGCAGCGAGAGATGGAGAGATAGCCGTCGTTGCAGTCAGCCAGCAGGCAAGCCACTACTATCGCCCGTGCCGAAGCCACCAACGGCAGTTCGAGCGGCAGCAGCAGCGAGATAATATTGAACATCACCGAGAGACAGAGAGATAGATACATGGACCACGAGATGAGTGTGCCTGCCTGCCTTTCTGCCTACCAGTCATCCAGCCAGCAAGGCAGAGGAGAGCGAAGTCAAGAAGATACTCTAAGACGACAAGTAGCGGGAGAAGAAGGAGTCTTCCTCCCGCATCTCCTCCCGCCGCTTCTGTCAGTGATGCCAACGCTGCTGCTTTTGGTCTTACGCTCGTTTCCTTGCTCGCTCCTAGCCTTGTTGTTCCGAAAATTCGGACGATGCCTGCAGGACGAATTTTCAAGCCTCAGCCGAAAGTAACGCTGCACGAGTTCTCGACACCGTCCAGCCGGACTCATATCGTGGTTTCGGACTTGCACAAGATCGCCGTTCAGATTTTACTCGCTCCTAGCCTGAACTCACGCGTACCCAAAGTATGAGAACGTGGGAGTGACACGAGAATTGGGAAGGAATGACACTGTGAGGAAACCCATCGTGAAGCGTCCGATTCCGACAGGCCGAGCGAACGCTTCATCCCGATCGCGAGGTCGCAAAGGAGACTGTATGGCGGTGCACAATAGATACCTATGTTGATGTCAAGGAGCTGTGCAAAACAGATCCGAGCCGGAGTTTCGGCCTCCCGTTCGGGCAAATACGCTCTTCAGTCAAGATCAGTTGGAAGACATAGATCAATTCTCCCAATCCATTGGGGAAGAGGAAGTCGCCCTTGTGCTCTCGACGCAGCCGTAATTACGATTAGAGGTGAAAGGAGGAAGTCGTTGAAACAGATGTGGAAACATCACATGGATGGGAAGTCAGAACGACTTCAGATATCCCTGTGTCTGGTTGTTGCAGGACGCAGAAGCCATGGAGCTCTGCAGCGCCGGGGCGGAGGGGTGGGGGGGGGTAGGAACCTACTCTCCTGGAGAACTGGAGCGAATTCCGAATACCGAGAAGCTGATGCTGGATTCAGAAATCCTTCTCCGGTCGAATACGCAACAATTGAGCTAAGAGATCTTCCTACTGACTGAGACATTTGTCGGTGAAAGCCTCGAGATCATCAGCTATCCTCAGCGAGCAATCAACGCCGACGCCGCATTTCCATGTCGGCCCTGTGTCGCTGGGTGGGTATTCCTGTATCGATGCGTCGGGGTTTTCATTGAACATGATGACACAGCGATCGATTGATGCGAGCGACTACTATGCTGAAGTCAACGTCAGGTTGGAACAGCGCTTGCAAATTTCGACCTCGCCGTCTGGAAATTTCTCTTCGTCTTCCTCGTACTTTACATTCGTCGAACTTGTTGGCGGTGTGTCGTCATTATTTATTTAAAGAGATACATTGCTCGCTAGGAGAATGGATAGATTGACGAATACATCTCTAGCGTTGGATTCCTGAATAAAAACGAATTTCGTTCTTGTTTGCTCTCTTGCCGACATACAGACGACCGTCTAGGCGGATGCCCGACGAACTGCCTGGTTGGCTGCTTTGCTGGCTGGCTGGTCGGCTCCTTCAACCTTCCGACTCCGTTCAGCATGAGGTGCAACATTGTTGCTGTTTATAAACTCCGTTGCAAATGTGCGATTCCCTCACAAGAAACAAACATGCGCTTCGTCGGTCGGACAGCGAAAGAGACAGATGGATGGACTGACGGACCCACACGAACAAGGAGCAAACACAGATTCACGCGAGAAAAAGAGGCAAATAAGATGCGCGGTCGGCTTATCCGCCGACTTGTTTGCCATCGTCGCCGTGGTCATCGAAGTGGCTCTCGTTAATCACTTTGAGTCAATTATTCCAACGGCGGCTGGAGCGCCGACGTCTTAGGGAATCAACATTGTAACTGAACGCCGCGCCATACGTCAACCGGTCGGTCGGCTGCTCCGTCTGACTGACTGATTGACTGACTGACGTTCACTCAGCCGGCGGGTCGCAGATTGATTTCTTTTGTCTGAATTTTCTCGGCCCCATTCGAAGAATAGGGAACGGGAGACAATCCGTCGTTTCGTTTGCTCAGTCAGACAGAAACAGCAGGAGCCTGCGAGTCGAGACTGGTGACGCCACCTAGCGTCTGGTTCACGCAGCTTAGAGCGAGCGAGACCGTGGTTGTTGGTGACTGACTGATGGCACCGCTCTGAAATGAAGAATTCCCTCCCGACCTCAATGGACACTTTTTATGTGTCATTCAAACCTTGTTTTTCCCGTTCGAAAGAGTCGAGCTGACTCGCCACTGAAAAAAGGAACTATTGAACTACAGAGGACTATCTCCTCTATATGTACTTCCGACGGAGTGGACTTGGCAAGCACCTGCAAGGTTCTCCGCGTGTCTGATCCGCGTACTGCCGGTGTCCCACAATAGCCGCTGTCATTGCTGAATTCCTTATCCTTATCCAAAACGAAGCCGGGCCTTCCCCGAGCGTTAATTCCAGGAACGAGCCGCGCAGTGCGTCGGGATCGCACCGAGTCCGCTTCGGTTCTAATTGAATCCTCCCGGGAAAACCCGACTCCTGGTCCCCGGATAACGAGGAGTGGTATGCCAATGTTTGCATCGATTCAGCGCTTCGCTCGTCGGCGGTCTGAATGAAGCTCTTATTCTGAAGTTATGCAAGGAGAACGCAAATTGCAAATCACGAACCTCCGCGCAAGCCTCAGGTCAGAGGATGGTATATAGGGGGTCGATGATCCGTCCCCCCTTTAGCGGGTTCTATCGCTCCGTGCGGTACCTAGGCTCGAACCTCGGACTACGACGAAGCGACGAATACTCCTGTACTCTGTAGATCGGAAAATCTTTGACGATGTCCGAACGGTGAAAGCCTGCGGCGCAGTCGAACTGTCAAAAGACTCAGGCAAGGTTGGGATCCCGCTTAGTCAGCTGGATAGATTGAGTTATACAATTCTTCTCCGGAACGTTTCGATGAGACTGAACCTTATCCGAACTCGGAGAATATCTTATTCGGTCACGGCGAGGAAATAGAGAGCTCGAAGAGTGTCCCCATCCGCTCGTCAGCGGCACTATGCGCTACACCGAAGGGTTGGGAGTTGGGACATTAGAAATAGCGCTCTGACGGCGATTAGAATAGGGCCCAGATGAGCAGCACATGTCGGCCGTGAGCTTTCCAAGCAAGAAAACTCGACGAGAACGCGGTGGCGTTCTGTCGACACGATGATTTGGATAGCATTTATCCGTCAATCGCGGTTTCCGGTCATCTCTGCAGTGGCAAACTGTCAGCTGCCTCCACAAAGTCCCCGGAACTCCGAACTTCTGCTCAATTGAGTTCCCGCGAAACTATTGAATTTCTGACGGGAGTTCCGATCACTCCGAGAAGGGGGAATCCGTTGCGAGGTCGCCGAGGGATTACAACTCGACGCAGTTTTCGGATTCGGCTAACGATTTGCCGACAGTCATAAGCCGGGCAAAATTGTTACTGCCAGCAGGCGAGGCCAGCATCGTCTCCCACGTTGGAGATTCCTGGAAAATCCTGCATCACAGCTACGACTTGTCTGAGTCGGCCCCTTGGGTTTCTGGTCCTCCCGAGCCTCTCGGACAAGACATTTCGGAGATTGCGACGCTCAGCCAGCTGCAATAGCTTGCCTGGAAGCTCCTGGAAATTACCGATTTTTTTGAGCTCGGCATTTTTGCATTCAATGTCGCCTCGGAAATTATTCAATTATTGAAAGACTCCATGAAACAAGCTGACTAAGAAGCGATTCGACGCTGGGTAGTTCCGACTCCAGGGGGTAAGAGTTCCATCCGAGAGCAAATCATCCTTAGGTATCACGCCTAAGATCACATCAGGAGCAGCAATACAATAAATTGTTCGCTTGTGGTGAGCGATCGAGCATGCGACTCGACGTTCTCAAATCAGAGAGGAGCTCGTGCGCGCAATCCTAGATTACAAGACGTATCACCTTCTTTTTGCTGCAGAAAACTTGAGTGTTCGAATCGCTGTGAGAAGTCTCCACTACTCCAGTGGTCTGTTTCAAAGTATCGACGGACTGTAATGTGAACGCTCAGCGGCGGCCCTAATGATTCCTCCGATGGGAGATAAGGAGCTGGGAGCTGCCTCGCCTACCGACTGCGAGGGCGGAAGCCTGCCGGCAGAATAGCGGCTAAAAATGTGGTCATATGGCTGAGAAGAGGAACATTAGGATACCGACTAGCTGGCCGAGTATCCTCCCAGCCAGGCAAGTGGGCCGACTCCCCGGTCTACTCCCCGGATAGCGGTAGGCGGGAGCACTTTGCCACAGACCCTCGATGATGGAAGATTTCGAGAAGTTTATGGTCAAACGACCGCTGTCCCGAGTCTGCTCGCGGGAAAGCTTCGAAATGGCGCGGTTTTGAAAAAAAAACGCTCCAGCGATGGGGAGCTCTGATAAAACGCTTCCGCGATTCGGGAGCACGCAACTTTTTCGAGAATCCGCAGCTTTATTCAGAATCGATTGAGACATACATACATGGAGCTTCTTCCAGAACTCGGCATGTGTACACTTCAGGAGTCACGGTGCAAACCTCGACTAACGACTGAGATCGAAGATATTTTCAACACCTCTGCGGTAGTGCTTGTACCAGACCTGAGGTTTCTTCCGTCGAATCGGGGTGCGGGGCATCAAGAAATCGTATCTGCTCCCGCAATGGTCATATGTTAGAACTGGGACTGGTTATCATGGCTGCTATTTTCTTTTCTTCTCGAGACAAGAGATAGGTTCAATCCTCACAAGAGGGAGATTCCGAAAAAGAATGGGCACATCTTACCTCCAGGCAGTCAACGGGTATTGATCATAAACTTGCTTGCCGCGCATCTCGTTCTTCCTCCAATAAGTGAACTTGGTGTCCGGCATCTCGCATTGAGAATTGTATTTGCGATGGAATTCCAGATCGCAGTGTCGCTGAATATTCCTCGCGAGGTTTGTATGCGGAGCGACCCCGGCAGCCAGGTTGTACACAGACGTGATCAACTGGGGATTCGGGCGTCGTTCGATGGGAGTGAATGTCGTCATCTCACAAATTGCGATCTGGAAGCGACTCGAAACGTCAGACTTCACCTGGATCGGATCGAGCTTCACATGGAGCTCAATTCCGGGCATATCTAGCCTTCGCTAGCTTTGGTTCTCAGGGGCTTTACGAACCTAACGCGTTCACTGCGTGAACTCGAGTGAAAGCTTCCGCGAGACGATGGTCGAACAGGCGCTGTAAATAATCTTTCGCTTGGAGGTCACCACCCACCGTCATCGGAGAGAACGATTTCTTCGAGAGCGATGACCGTGATGTCTCGACTCGACGCTGCGGTATCATCTTTCCCGACATCAGGCAGAGGGAGTTTCGGGAAACCCAGATCGTTTCCCATGATCCAAAGCAAGGAATCTGTATGGAATTTCTTCCGTCGAATTCATATGCTCGAGCTGTTTTTGTTTTTTCATTCCTTGCAAGAGATTCTTCCGAGTTGAATCATCTCGGTCAAGGTAGTTGCTGTCGAGATCTTAGCCACAGGAGAGGGCATTATTCCTTGTGGAAGAAGCTCAAAGCGGTCGGAGAAGAGCAGCAGACGTCAGAGCGCCGAATTCGTGTATGCCTCAGCTTCCTCCGAATGCACGGGCATCGGCGGGCTCGCGGGCTCTCATTCACAAAATGGGAGGAACTCTTGATTCTCCGGCGAACACGTCAATCTGGATTTTTCAGGCCGAAGGTAGGAGGCCCTCATGGCGGTGAGCTGTGCCGTGGTTCCCGATTGATTAGGACGACGAATTCAACTCCATCCGACATATAATAATGAGCTGCTCAGAGCTCGAGAAGGAACCGATTAGTATGAGATGAGACGAGGTAACGAGCGGGATTATCCCCACGAGCGACAGTATTGGGTGTGACTGCGAGCTCGAAGTAGGGTTTTCGAGCGGGCAAAAAAACAGGACCGGCATCCTCGCCACAGCTTGGAAAAAGCGCCATGGGAACATCCTTTCCCGGTTGACTGAACCTAATCTCCCTCGACGTTCTACGCGATCAATCCATTGATACCGACGGCCGAAGGCTCGCGGGGGGCGCTCCAGTGTGACCCGACTCGCCAGAGTCACGGCTGGAGGTCAAATTACGCCGACGCGGCCGGAGAGTCCAGTCGATATTCCAAGCAGCTTCCCCTAATTAGATGAGACTTCGGAATCACCGTAATCCGGAGCATCAAAAAATCCTCTTCTCCCGATAATTCCGAGAATCGCTATTATACCCTTCATAGGCTCGTCACAAACCGAAGGAAATTGTCTCAGGAGCTTCTCGTCCCAGTAGCGAATCATCGTTTCCTCAGTCGGAGGGAAGGAGTCGGTTGGGGAGACGGGGCAAAAGGCCAGAGAGTCAATCGAAAACCTACCGAACACCGAAACGAGCTCACCGAGAGGTGCTCGCCGATTCTCTTGAATTTTAGATTCGTACTCGGACTACTTTCGATTCCGGGCGGTTCTGCCACCGGAGTTGCAGGTGAAATGACGATGCTGCTCAACGCTATCGCGATGGGCGGAGCAGAATCCACTCCGTGAGTTTTTCTGGGATCCTGATGAATACAAATCTAGGTGGAAGTGTGGACCCTCGCGAGATGAGCTCGGAGCGCTTCGCGCTGGGCCACGGGCGAGGGCGAGCCCTCAGAGACAGGCTCAGGGGTGCGTTGTCCTTAGAATTGCAAATCCCGAACATCCCGAAGGATCGCTTAAGCCGATTGCCTACAGGTGTGCCAAAAGGAGCAAGAGCACAGGCTACACTCTTCCTTCGCTGTGTACGTCATTCAATGCAGTGAATGCACTTTAACACATGTAAATTCGAAGAAAAAGGTGGTCTTCGGTCCTACAACTGCGAGCTGTGACAGAATCCTCAGTCGGAATGACTGTTCAAGTCAGGAACGAAAGCAGATGAGCTGTGATTCCGGCGTGCCAGCCGTGTTCTGAAAATGCTTATACGTCCTCAACCCTCAAAGGGGGTACCTCCCGCCGAGACAGAAGCAGACCATGGAGCTCCGGGCCGTGTCTCGACGCGGACCAGCTGCGAGCTGAATTTTCACGACGCGGCGTAGGAACGTAGCGTACACTACTCGTTCTCCGGTGGGCCAACAATTTCTTTTGGAGCCTTCCGATTTCTGACAGCGTACGCTTTCCCGATGTGTAACTCGGGATCACGGCGCAATCCGCCTCATCGGCCGTCCGGAAGCGGAGCCGCTCTCCTGACTCTCTTCGCTCGACTCCGAATCTCACGATGAGGTCCTTTTCCACGGTTGCCTCGGCCTGAAAACCCCGCTGCGAGGACCTTCCTGGTGCCTGTCCTGAGCCGGCAGGCCCTGTGTTGACGGGGCCTTATTGGCCATGAACGACTGCTCATCGGAATATTCAGAAGTCGACTTTCGAGGTCCCGATCTCGGAGACAGTCAAATCTTGAGTAATTGAAAAATTTAAAAAATTTTAAAAAATTGAGGGTCGTCACGAGTAATCCTCCTCGATATTGCGCTCCAAACGGAGCTCTGGCCCAAATTAATCGATCGCTCATGCAATCGTCTTCCACTGTAAACATCTGTCTGTTGCTATTCGAGTATCGCGCGAGGAACCGACGAGAAGAACGAGACACCAGACTACTGCTCGTTGTGCTCCTCTGTCTTTTGTGGACTTCGACTCCTGAAGAGACCTCGTACCTCGCACTACCGAGTGCCAGCGAAGTTCCGATCCCGTGTCTCTTTAATGGCAGCTCTCCCAGAGAGAAATGAGAGGTAGGGGAAGTATCGTCGAACCGATTTGCGAAGCTCCTCGAAGGTCTGGAACCTAAATGGAAGATTTGCACATTCCTCTCGTGCTCCACTGCGGTCGACACCTAACCTAGCCTCTTCCCCGTCTGACGATCGACAGTCAGACAATGAAGGATCGAAGAGAAGACTACTTGATCGGCCACAACGAGATCGAGAAGCACCAAATTGATCATAGAGTACTGCCCATCCGGCAGGCGAAACTGACATTTCCAGCGATTGGAAATGCTGATTTTGTTTAACTCGAAGCGGAGTTCTTTGATGGAACTGACCAAACTATGACTTTCCTCCCCTAACTCCTGGAGTCGTGAAGTCAAGTGAGCATTATTCATGGTCGGGAAGTTCCGCAGCATGGCGTCATTGAAAATCCTTGTCAGATGATTCTCACAGGCTGCCAAAGATCCACAGGGGTCCTGAATAGAATATCGACTGTTCCCTGGGAAGCTGAATGTTCAGCATTCGGGAACAGCATCTATCTATTGACCTCGTGATTCCCAGCGAGAAATTTCATCAGTTACTTACCGAGGACCGAGATATCCACAGTCAAACGGTAATCATATCCCCTCAGAAAGTAATGGAAGAACGATTTCTCAGTGAAATTTCTTGAGACGGGGTCTCCCTCATATTCCTGATTGAGGAGCAAAGCGACCCGACGCCGCGAAGATCGCTCGAATTGCGGGGGGGAGAGTCATCGACAAGGAAGCTCGATCCTCCCTCTCTTTTTTCCCGAGGAATGAGCACACAGTTGAGGCATTCTCGTGCGAAACCAGAATTCAGTTCCTAATGTCAAGCTGTCAAACCGTCCGAAAAATACGTCCAACCTGTATCAATTCATTTCAGATACACATATGTACAATTGCACGCTTAACAAATTCTGAGGCTATCGTCCTTCTAATCGATTTTCCATGATGTCGATCTGTTTCAATGCTTGTGCGACGCTGTGACGCATTCTATGGAAATCCTCCATTCGGAGCTCGCCACTTAATACTTCGCCGGACGTCGTTTTCAGAGAAACAAGAACACAAGGTGTCCATCTCTTCACTCCCTTCCTGCAACCAAGATTGTGTACTCAAGATCATGTCAGGTGAGTTTCTCTCCCCCCCTCTTTGGATAAATAATAATATATCGTCTCACTTGTCCGTTGTCACGGTGACATCGATTTTGTAGTCGAGTTTTTCCAAACCCTCAAACCGGAGAGGCTCGTTCTTTTTATCCATTTCCCCCCTGCGGGAGCCATATAGAGCGCTACATATATCCGATGAGAAGTCCTCCGTTATTTTCAGCTGTTGGAGATCCTTCATGAGCTCCTGCAACGGAAACCCGTCGTCCGGTAGGTGCGAATCGGCCTCGAAAGATCAAGAAGAAGCTTCAAATGGCGATTCTTGTCCTGATTGAGACGACGATGCTACCTCTGAAGTCAGTTCGACTGGATCTCGAGCGATAACTGAGCGAATAAGTCGATGGAGTCCAGAGAATGCCTTATCGAAGGCCTGCCTGTCCTTAACGCCCTGCCGCAGCCGAGATATAGCCTTCCGCAGATCACTGGTGTCTCTCCCCTCGAACTCAGACACTAGAACTGTCACGACAGAAACAATAGAGATCAGGCACATTGGATCTAGATGCCGTCGCGAAGCAGAGATACAATATCATCATGTTGAATGTATCTATATCGGATACTTCTCCGTGGTCTCACCTTTGACCATTCCCCTGAATGTGGCTCTGTCGACGCTCTGAAGGGCAGCGCCAAGCGTTAGAACTTCACGCGGCACCCGTCCGCTGAAGTACAATACACTTTCGCGACTCATTCCGAGATTTCCTATCGGGCTCCTGGAGAACCGACGACGACCGAGCTCATCTGACAGTTGCAGCTGACTGGCGAGTTCGCCTCTGTGTCTGGCTTCTCTGGTGTGTGGGATTCTCATCGGAACCGACATCAAAACATACAACGCGCCCTCTTCCTCGCAGTCGTGAATGGTCGCCATGCGTGGACTCCGCGCACTCGATCCGATTTTTCGGCGTACCGTACCGTTCGGTATCGCTCGAGGCGTGTCCACCGACGTCGAGCTCGCCGCCAATGACGCTCTGCTTCCTAAAGGTTCGTCTTATGACCTCTCAGTTATTCCACATTATCAGAGATCCGGGAATATGGAAACATGGCAACAGAGGAAACTAGACGACACTTTAATTCGGTACAGCGTATGCATTGCTTCGAGAACCCGACGCCTTCAAAGTCAAGGATCTGGTATCCATTAGCGAGATGATGGAAAACCGAATGCATCTCGGACACAAAAAAACTCTTCTCAACCCGTTTATGAAACCCTTCATCTATGGCAGTCGTTTCGATCAGCTCATCATCGATCTTGAACAGAGTCGCGAGCATATGGTGAAGGCGTTGAATTTCGTTGCTCATATCGCGTACAATGATGGTATCATCTTGCTCATAAGTCGTCATAATGAAACAGCGCATGAGGTGGGTGCTCAGGCCGGCTTGATCTTCTCAAAGTTGGGGTTGCGATTCGAATGATGCTGTGAATTTCTTCGATACCCTGATCCCATCCATCGTCCTTGTATTCCTCTTATTCCTTAATTCCTTAGTCATTTTATCATGTCTCCTTCATTGCAGGTTGAAAAATGCGCCATGGAATGTAAGGAGTTCGCCCATGTTCGACCCTGGTATCAGGGAATGCTGACGAACTGTGGTACTTCTTTCGGCACAGAAATCAGATTGCCGGATCTGGGCTTATTCATAACGACCAGGGGTGAGTTGAAGCAATGTTCCCGCCCATCAACTCTCTCATTGCAATATTGAACGCTCGACCTAGGATAAAGGAGTGAGCTTCATTCCTTCCTGTTCGATATCGAGTTGAGCTATATCTGGTAATGTTTTCAGGTTCGCAAACGGCTGCGAATGAATTCGCAAAACTCATGATTCCATCGGTTGGAGTCGTGGACACCGACACGGATCCGCGACTCATCACGTACCCTGTTCCCGGTAACGACGATTCCACCGAGACCATAAGGTACTACATCCGTCTCTTCAAAGAAGCGATTCTCAGGGGGAAGGAAAGACGGAAACGAGACTTAGAGGATTCTGGGAGCAAATCCCGAGAAGTACTGAGCTAGAGGTAGTTCAGCGAATCGCGTGTAGATATATTGATTAGGATTGCCGTTGATATATGGAAGACCTCAGCCGAAGGAAATAAAATTCGTACTTTACTATCATATCACCGATGAATTGAGATGAAATTATGCAAAATATTCCGTTCGCATCGATAGATGCAGGGAAGTACACCGAATCGAAAGGATCGGTGTTCCCAAGCCGCAGGATCTCACAGAGGTTCCTGCAAATTCGCTTATCCGTCGCATAGGAGTTTCACGAGCCCCAATTGAGGGTTTGATTTGTTGCCGACTTCGTTGGATTCGAATCCGATCAAATCCCCTGGAGGAGCATTCCTCCAGCACCTCCACCACCGTTGCAGATTCCGGCTAGTCCGTATTGGCCGCTTTTCAAGTTCACAGCCATGTGGCCGACGATCCTCGTTCCAGACATGCCGATGGGATGTCCGATCGAGACGCCGCCTCCGTTGACATTCACTTTCGACGGGTCCAGCTTGAGGGTCTTGATCGCAGCGACAGCCACACAGCTGAATGCTTCGTTAATCTCGAACATGGAAATCTGATCCAGACTGAGGTTGGCTTTCTTCAGAACCTTTGGCATGACAAGGTTCGGAGCCAACGGAAAGTCCACGGGTTCTGTGGCGGCATCTCCGAAAGCAACGATTCTGGCTAAAGGAGTCAAACCGAGGGAAGAGGCCTTCGCTTGAGACATCAGTACAACCGCAGCGGCACCGTCATTCAGAGAACTAGCGTTGGCAGCGGTGACGGAACCACCGTCTTTCTTGAAAACGGGCCGGAGACTTGGGAACTTGGCAAAATCGGCTTTCTTGTACTCTTCGTCGTCGGTAACCACAGTGTCGGGTTTTCCGCGAACTCCTTTGATCGTAACGGGAACGATCTCTCTTTTGAATATCCCGTTCGCAGCCGCCGCTTGTGCTTGTTTATAAGACTTTTGTGCGTATGTGTCCTGATCTTCGCGAGTTATATTAAGCTTCTCGTTGGTAGTTTCGGCGCACATGCCCATGTGGAATTGGTTGTACACGTCCCATAGTCCGTCATGGACGATCGAATCCTGGGGAGGAAATCGATTGTGAGACTGAATTATTCATCGTCATAACGCAACGGAGGCAAGGATCTCACGGATCAGTCCGAACGCACCTTGAGCTGGATCCCACCATACGGTGTCTCACCCCGCGCCATGTAATATGGTGCGTTGCTCATGCTCTCCATGCCGCCGGCGACCATGATCTCGGCATCCCCAGTGAGGATATTTTGGGCAGCCATTGCTATCGCCTTCATTCCGGACGCACAGACTTTATTCACCGTAGTGCATGGAACCGATGTGGGAATCCCAGCACCCAAGCTCGCTTGGCGCGCCGGAGCCTGCCCTCCCATGGCTTGGAGAACATTGCCTGCAAATTAGGAGTAACTTGGTTTCTGCATTCTTTTGCTCCGTGAATCAGAACATTTGAGCCTGGATATGCCTTGCGGCTTCAAAAGTCCTCCCAGGCGCCCCGAAGAGGGGCCGAGATGGTCCGCGAGCCTGCGACTATCGTCACTGGTCCTCGAGAGGAGCTGTATAGTAAATGAACCCGGATGCTTCCGGATTGAAGCGAACAATATTCAGAGGTCCGGCCGATTGATGTCAGATAAATTCGTCCCGTGCCGAAGCCAGTGTGCACGAGAGCTTTCAGAGATTTGCGCAAAGGTGAGTCAAGACATGAGTCAAGTTACCGTATTTCCTCTAGCAGGAGGGCATGCTCTTTTTACCGAGCATGGTTTCGGAGATCTTATCCAGACGGGCATGCTCTAATTAACGGGCACTCTTCCGAACCTCTGTTTGCAGGGCACCCTCCGAGACTCCAGAACGGACAACACACGGAAAGTTCAGAAAGTGTTCTATCCGGCGGATCTCTGTTGCCATTACGGACCCCGGAAGAGTCGCTAAATGTTCTGCGTTACTGACTTTTCTTTGGAGGAACCGATTCTAAGATAGATAAATCTCCCTATCTAAACGGGCATGCTCTTATTAACGGGCACTCCTAATTACTGGGCACCCCTTTAGAGCTTCTGAAAGAATAACGGGCAGGCCCCCCTCACTGGAGGAAATACGGTGGTCATGCCGAATGAGCAGAATAGAATCATCGAGCCGAAATTAATCAATAAATGAGGAAGGAGGAAGTTCCATGCTGAGCCAGCAAATGTCAGAGATAGGATTCCTCCCTCTCTCGGAAGATGCTCCGTTTTCCTCCGGATGCTTTGCCGCTCTAAAAATCCCACTCACCCATGTAAACTTCATCAATTTGCTCGGGTTTCACACCAGCTTTCTCGAGTGCTCCTCTGATTGCGATGGATCCTAATTCGGTGGCTTTGAGCGCCGCGAGACTTCCACGGAAACTTCCGATTGGTGTTCTAGCGTACGAGACAATAACAACCGCCTGCGGAGATAACAGCAACTATTTGGAACGAGTGAATTTGCGGCTCGATCAGCTGCAGATCATCCATTCAAGGAGAGGCAGTGGACATCCTCAGAAAGCAAAAGGTTGAGATCTGAGAGCGTAATCAGAACCGAGAGTATGGACTTACATCTGTTGCTGAGGATGTCATCGTGCGGAATGATGTCACAGCGATATTCTGGAAGATTTTGATAGCTTTAAAGGGATCCTCTGCACCGGAGGAGGGTTTGGCAGGAGTCGATGAGCCTTCCGAGGAGCTACTCTCGAGCACCCGGCTTTGAGGATGGCTAAATTATGAAGCCCCGAGCTCCCTGGGAAGTCGTTTGACAACTGATCGTCTTTCTCTGTATGTCACCTACTTCTTCAAAGCAGAGAAATATTCTACTGACTCAGTGCCGAAGATCGATACCCTGACGAAGGAACGTCATCAGGAAGCAGAAGAGGGGGAAAGCGTGGCACAGTTGAAAGAAGATGGGAAAGAGAGCGAGCTCCCGAGCACACACACACACCGGAATAGTTCTGTTTTTCTTATTTGGCGGCAGTGGCTGCGGCGACTGTACCCGAGCCGGTGCCCACTCCGCACAGAGAGAGGGACTGCAGCCCCTCACTCTCGGTGGCAGAAACGGCCAACTTCACTCCTACGCTAGGAGCAGTACAACGTCTCCGACGTTTAGATGATCCGGGAGATAAAGAACTACGACCAACGACGTGAAATATAGGGACCCGGCATCGAGTGCGCGAGACCTATGATTTATGGCGGCAATCTTCTCAGAGTCGCGCTCAGGTTCGACCCCTGTTCCGGGCGAGACGAAATCGGTCCCGAGGAGTAAAACACTGCCCTCTTCGCGGGTCTGCCGGTTTCCGAGTCTCTTCGAGAACTCGATATCTACCAGCTTACCCCATGTACCACGCGAATGGAGACTAGGTGTATGAATCTGTAGCCCGTCAGCGAGAATGAATGATGATTCTATGATTTGGATTAGGTACGAGTTATCCGACTCAGGAGCCCGGCTTTCCCGAGTCCGACCAATGCGGGCCCCCTTGCCCAAGGGCTTATCCCGTGTATTCCCTGCGACGTCTCCAAGAATAATAAGGGTGGTGACATCTGCCGTCCCATACTAGAAATGTTCCCGGAAAGAACGAAGGGCTACTGGATGGGCAGCTGTTTCTTGGAGGCGCTGTTCTCCCACGTAGGATTACGTGGGCTCGAATGACTCGCGTTTTTCATTTCGAAAAGAGAAAAAAGCCTCTGCGATGGACGTTTGCCGACTCACTCAATTTTTCATCGACTCCTCAGGACGGCCAGGCCTATCTTATAGTCGCGCTTATCTGTCTGTGACTGACGACGAGATCATAATCGAGCCAGCCGGGCTCGCCGTTTCGATCGAGACACCAAAAAAAATGAATATCACATTCGAGCTCCTAGAGATTTCTTCATGATCCGAGAGAACGGAAAACCCTTGCAATCCAGGGGCTTTCGTCCAAGGGACACCTCTCGCACGGAAACTTGACAAGCGTCGATTAGCTCATCTTCCAGATTGAGATTCCTTCGCCGCTCAGTTCGCGCGAGATATGGAAACTCTTCGAGTATCGCATTTAGAGCAGAGAATCACGCCGGCAGGAGAGCCTCGGAGAAGATAGGCTCGGGGGCTGAAGCTGAGGCGATGAGGGATAGAGATACAGTGAAACCTGACTCGGGGTGCACTTGCGCAAAGGGACCTCCTGACTTGTCGGACCACTTCTTCTCGTGACCGTGGGCCATTAGAGCCCATAGTAATCCGGAAGCGTCGCGGGTCCACCTGAGACATCGATCATCTTTTTGCTGGAATCGCGGGTGGACTCATCAACCAGCTTTAAACTCCATCGATGAAGCATCCTCCGGAACGGTTGGAGACCGGCATGTCTCCGACTCTAGCTCCTCCCCCCTATCGAGTTCCCCGGACAGAGAAAATCGGCCATTCTGCGATCCCGCGCTCTTCACCGATAAACTTCACAGGTCATTTTTTCGCAGCCCGATGGAGGCAGGATCTCAGATTCGAATTTCGACATCAGAACTTGTGCAGTACATCATATGATCTTGCTGCTCATTGGCCACTCTGACAGTCTCCGGCTCCCCGAAGCCTCGATCGCCGCTAGATCATGGGGCACCACGCGTTGGCGAAACGCTGAAGACGGACGACTGTAATCACTTACCTTGCCGAGCGCCCTGAGCATTTTCACATAGAATCCAAGCTCGCGAACCTCGAACGAGGGGAGAAATCACAGCTGTCTCCCTCGTCTCCAAGAACCCTCCTCTTAAAGAACTCCCTCTACGACCTTCGCGGTACGCAGAATAATATCGAACTTTCCGTACGAATCCAGTAGAATAGCGAGAGAGTCAAGAAGGAAAGAACATCATCTTGCGCTCACCCGTCAATCAACTCTCGTATGAGTTCCTCGAGCATAGAGGGGGGGAGTTCTCGCACGCGATACGATTGGACGGGTGTCCGTAGAGACGTGGTTTCTAGTGGGATGCCGAGTGAAGGTTTTGGCGGCAAAAAGTCCGCGCACCGTCAGTCCAATGAAGCATATGATTTCTCGACATCGCATCCCGGTTTCGCAGAGGCGCATCGGAATCTTGCTCTCTGGAGATCGTTTGTCCGGTCCTCATTACTCCCGCCAAGATGGCAGAGAACGGGAGCGCTGGTAAGGGCTCTGCCCTGGCCAACGGGACGAGGTTTGTTCCCTCTGATTCAATCTTTTGCCTACGATCGCCGTCGACGCAGCTGATTTCGATTCAATCCTCCCCAGGGCTGCGCGGAGACATCCGGAGCAGCAATATCTGGACATCATTCGTCTCATAATGAAAGATGGTCGGCGAAAGGACGATAGGACTGGCGTTGGAACCTTGAGTGTTTTCGGGACTCAAAGCCGGTACTGTCTCCGCGGCAACATCATTCCCCTCCTGACGACGAAGAGAGTATTCTGGAGAGGGGTTCTGGAAGAGCTACTCTGGTTTCTGAGGTGCGTGAGGGGACTCCACGACGACTGTGTATGGAATGGACCGGAAATTGATTCGGTATCAAAATTTTATGATGAGTTCGTCTTTGAACGCGTCTCCTCCTCAGGGGCTCCACCAATGCGAAGGAGTTATCAGCGAAAAATGTCACGATCTGGGACGCTAATGGCTCTCGAGCGTTTCTGGACAAACTGGGTTTCTCGGCTCGCGAGGAAGGTGATCTCGGGCCTGTTTACGGCTTCCAATGGCGGCATTTCGGAGCCACTTACATTGACATGCACACCGATTACACGGGTCAAGGCACCGACCAAGTCAGCCAGTTGATTGAAGCTATACGGAAAGATCCCAATGACCGACGCTTGATCCTCTCTGCTTGGAATGTCAAAGACCTCCCGAGCATGGCACTACCTCCTTGCCACTGTCTTGCACAGTTTTACGTCGCTGACGGGGAACTATCGTGCCAGCTGTATCAACGGAGCGCCGACATTGGTCTAGGAGTTCCATTCAACATAGCATCGTATGCTCTACTCACCCACATCATCGCCCACTATACGGATCTGAAAACGGGAGAGTTCATCCACACAACCGGAGATACCCACATCTATCTGAACCATGTGGAACCCCTGAGCAAGCAGATCGAACGAGAGCCGAAGGATTTTCCCACCCTCGAAATAATCGCTGATAAAACTATTCCATTCTGGGCGTTGAAGGCAGAAGATTTCAAGCTCAATGATTACAGTCCCCACCCCAGCATCAAGATGGAAATGGCGGTATGATTCAGCGACCGGTCTTCGCGGTAGTCCTCGATCACGACGAGTATTCTGTCTAGCGACAAGAGCTTCATTTCGACAGAGTGCTCCGATATCGCTCCATCGAGTCTCAATAAAATGTGCTGGGTATGAGCCCTTCCCCCTCCCCACCGAAGACGAGCTTCACTTAACGTGTTTTCAATGGGTGGGTTTTCGAAAAATATGGCATTCCGCACGCGTTCCTCAAACATCATCTGTCGGACTGATCGCGGGAGCTCCGCGGCCAAGGGTCTAGTTAAAGGCGCGCGGGTTAAAGGCCTCCTCCGCGCACCTTCGGCGGTCCGCCGGGATCCGTCGCTTAGACAGTCGAGGCCCGGTCCGTCGCTTAAGAGCGTGAAAACATGAGCATGCACCGGCCAGCTGTGTTCGAATTCCAGCGACAAATTCAGTTCTGGGAGAAAACATTCGTTCACAGTGCTTTCCGTGCGCTCCATTGAACAGAGTTCATCATGTGGAGGAGTACTTTACTCCTGGTCAGACAAGCCAGGTTGGGGTTTCGGCACTTCCGAACGCGTAAAGGTGATTTTCGATAACCTCCATGGACCTCTTTTGAGAAACGCGCGAACTTTTTTGTTCGTCGTGGGAACCGTCTCCGAAACGATCTTATCGATACATTCCTAGCAGCTCAGATTCGATCGGAAAAAACTCCTGAACGGAAGCTTCCGAAACCCGGCCCGGGGAATCGACTGCTGCTGTCAAGAGCGCGCGAGACCCCTGCCGAATAGTAGTAAGATGATTCTCCCTCCTCCAGATTGCACTCCAGAAACCAATTCGCTGAAGCCGAGAATAGGAAAGAGCATTGCTTTCACAATCGGTGCGACGACATTGTTCCACACCGGGTCAACGATTTGGATATACGAGGACTTGAAACAAAAAGAGGAAAATAAATCGAAGATTTCAAAATCATCCCCACGACCGTGGTACTACGATTCACCGACCCACAGATGGTGGAAGTCTCTAACGCCGGCGAAAAAAGTTTTCTTCGGCATCCTCACAGTCAACGGGATCGTTTTTGCAATGTGGAAAGTTCCAAGATACTCGGACGTAATGTACAAATACTTCACACACTCACCGACGTCGAACAAGGTGTCGCCGATGCTTCTGTCGGTATTCAGTCACCAGTCCGCTCTTCACTTGGGCTGCAACATGTTTGCATTATACAGGTAGGACCGGGCTAGGAGCCGATTCTTCGTGCGCAGTGCTGACGGAATTAGGAGCCTCTACTGACTGGAGCGATCAGCCGAGGTAATCGACGCTTGCCTTCCAGCTTCATGGAAGTCGGCGTCAGTCTCATGGGACGGGAGCACTTTTTAGCGACCTATTTGACCGGCGGGGTTGTTTCTTCCCTGGCCTCCCACTTCGCTAAGCTGTACACGCAGAATCGGTGAGTTTTGAGGGACGCTCGACTGTCGCATTCACTTGCGATTTGGACCGCTCCCCTTTGTCCAACTTTTTTTTCCACAGAGCTGTATCGCTCGGAGCATCCGGGGCGATCTTCTCAGTAGTCGCCTACGTGTGCATGAAATCTCCGGATTCTCAGCTGCAGATCATATTTCTGCCAATGCTGACTTTCAAAGCGATCACCGCCATTAAGGGCATCATGGCCTTCGACTTCATCGGTGAGATCAACACTTGCGATACAGACTCACATTTTCGGGTCAGGCCTAACCTAATGAAGCGGAGCTATCTCTATGAACCGCATAAATATCATTGGCTTCCGGCAGGTCTCCTAAGCAAATGGTCTCTCTTGGATCACGCAGCCCACCTCGGGGGTGCGCTGTACGGTATCGGATACAACCTCGGAGGGTACAAGTTATATCTTATTTATGGTGAGAGCCTATTCAAGTTTTGGCACAAAATCAGATCTGGAAGCCGGGACAGATAGTCAGATTGTATCAATATTAGGGATATCGAACGCAATGGCCCAGTGTGGATGAAAGGCAACTGGGCTCTCAAATATGTTATTTCGCAATAAAGACGCATGATATATGCATCAACATCGCTCGTGAGCAATGCACGTATCAGGGCCGAGACGCGGATCGGAGTCTCATCGAACCATCGTTGCTTCTATTTAATATTTGAGCCGATAAAACACAAGATGACTTAGAAGTTCGAGGCCAAAATCTGTGACCCTCTTCATGATGGATCAAAATCCCCTCACAATTTCTCATGGTGATATCGAAAGTGAACAATAATGTCAAGGTTTCCCATCACCGGTTCCGGACGGACGACTACGAGAATTTGATTGCGATCTCATCGCCTCCTCGGATATGCTCCGTATCGGAAATGAGCTGGAAGGATCCGAAACCTGAATACAATGACGGCTCATCTCAACGAAAGTGGAAGAAAGACTGGAGTCGCTTTTGAGTCTGGAGCTTCAAGCGAGAAACAAGACCTTCCTTTTATTAAGAGAATTCCACACGGTGCGTTTCGATTGGGGACATTCCGCTGCTGGAAACGAATTCCAACAGATCATATTGGTCGTCACGCTTTGCGTTTCCTCAGCGCCGAGAGCGTTAGCTTCATCCATGTACATTTTTACATATCGATCCTTCCGAAGTAAGCTAAAACGACGATCGAGTCCCTATCTCTCCAGGATGCTTCAGCCTAACTTATTTCTCGGTACGGGGTTTGTCCGTCTCGACTTTGCTGAGACCTTAGACGACGCCACAGCGCATTCCATGAGAGACAATGAGCCGTCTGCGATTCGTTCATACCCTCAGGTCGGCCTTGTGCGCGTACTAGGTCGGCCCCCGGGAAGCCATCTCCGTCGATTTCTTGAATGAATTTCCACAAGTCTGAGGGTCGGGCATCGTTTTCATGGGATTCCCTGATGGTCTCGTAAGAGTCCATTATCACCGATAAGAACAAGGAAATTACACAATAGATGAACAATATCAGGAACATATAAAGATATATCCGCGCGAACCACCATATGATACCGGTCGATTCGCCCATTATGGCGAAGGTTGCAAACATGTCATCACCGTTCATCAGCGCGAATAAGCACTCGGAAGTAGAGCTCAGGGATCGGAATTTAATGTTGTGCGGACCAAGCACAACCCAACCACAGAAGCAGAAGCCCATGTAGAGCAGTACTGCGCAGAGGAGGAAACGCAGAATGTTCGGTGTGGCTCGCCTCATGGTCAAGATGAGAATGTTGTACTTCCTGAAGAATCCTAAATACCGCAGCACTCCTGCCCAAACTAACAGATTCCCTAAGCCCAGCAAAGTGCTGCAGAAGTTATATTGTGCACCATCGATGATGCGCTGTTCTAATTGCATCTTGATCAGAGACCCTATTATAATTAGGATATCGTTCATCATTATCATAACGTACCAGAAGTCCACAAAATCGAGCTTCTCCTCCCACGTGAGTGTAGTTTGATTTTTCGTCCAGAAGAACGCCTCGGTTTTCTTGCGCAACAATTGGCCTCGCATCAACGATCTAGCACAGAGGACTAAGGAGCCGCAACATATCAATATGACGACAACATTCATCAGCTGCCGCAATAAGAACTCCAGCTGCCCCGTTTCAGCGTAATGCACATTTGTCTTACATTCGAGTTTAGTACTCGCGGTTGTCAGCGTGATTAATAGCTGCCCATCGTGTGCTTCATTATTGTAAATGATCCTCACAGAATACTTGTAGCATTCAGGCAGGTCGAACGTGCTCAGACTTTTAAGATAAACAGTTTTCAAATTGAAGTGAATGCTGGCTCGGATGAGTTTATCGAACGAAAGCGAGAAATTATGCTGCCTCATGTAATCTTGAATCGAGAAGCTCTGCCATCGTGGATCGTTCATCGGATAGAGTTTCGGATCGATGGGAAGAGGAGTCACCTCTTCGGTATTATCGAACGATAGGGTCTCGTTGTGCGGGAAGACCTGGCCGTTCCTATATTGAGTTTTGTAGAACGTTACGTTTCCTAACGAGCCGTCGATTGTGTCGTAGCCTAGAGATGCTATAGCAGTCTGCGTAACGTTCGAATAACGCTTGATCACGCTGTTGACGTGTGTATAAAAGTCGGTTTTCGTATAAACCGCGTATGGTCCGGACGACGGTGGGTACGCCGCCACCTCCCGGATCGAAGTCCAACCTTCGAGGAACATGTGGTCCAGAGCGATGTTCGTATCTCGATGCTGTTGTTGGAAGGCGTAGCTATCGTAGCCGAAGAATACCAGCTGCAGCGTGACGACGATAATTTTTGAGATTTGTAGACCCAGTTTCCAAGGTAGTCGACCTTTCGCTTGAAACTTCTCTATGGGATTCATGAAGAAGAATCGGAGTCTCCGCCGCATACGCTGTTCCAGGCTGAGGAACGATCTCCTCTCCTCCTCCGTTTGCTCAATAGACTCATCCTGAATGGATGTTCGAGGATCCGGTTCTTCGACTACAGATGGGACGCCGTCTGTTTTCATTGTCCCATACGAGCGATTATCCTGTAAAACCAGAGCCAGCATTGATCTTCGAATTTCGGATAAACTTCGAGGAGGTGTTCCTAATACACAGCGACGATCTTTTCTTAGCCGAGGAGTGGGAGACCCCTCAATCGTTCAATGGGCCACGACGCGCAAGGATTCGAGAAGAAAGGCCGGACGGTGAACTCCGGCTGCTTGAATACGCGGAGATCCCCGCGTGACCCAACCATTCCGATGCCATCCACGACCCTCAAGAGAGTCTCACCGCCTTTCTCGAATAAGAATCAAGCTGATCGAGGCAGCAACTACGGGCGACCCATCTTTATGAACGTTTCGAGTAACGACCCGAAATCAAATCGATGCACTCTGCTCAGTGAACCCCAAATCCCAGACGAGGGATCGTACTCGCCGGACGCTTCTGCACTCTCGAGAGATTCCGATAGAGCGACGATCCTGCTCACGGAAGGAGATTCAATAATGGCATGGGGGTTTTTCACGCCAGGTATATCTGTCGCAACATTGAGCCAAAAAAGGCGAGCTGCTCTCTTCGCTCGCACAGAGAGGAACCTACACCCGAGAGCGTCGCAACGAGGCACATGAGACGAAACTTGAACTTTTCTAAAACGAGCGCCGTCGATTGAGTGTGACGGAATATAGAAAGCGATCACGTGCTGTCCTTGTGAGGTTTGCCGAACGCTTGGGCCGCTCGCATCGGATGAGACGATGAGACATTGATGCGAATCGCCCGACCGAAATAGTGCTGCACCAAGGCTCACATGCAGAGAAAATCATTCGGGAAGCAAACATCTTGCGCACACTCGAACCCATCGAGCGAAAAAGGCTGTTGCTCTCATTGAAGTACAGGGGGATCAATGGAATCTACCGTCAACGCAGATTCTCGGATTCCCAGTGCGAGCTTCCGAATCATTTCAACTCCACCCTCAAGAGTCATTTGTCATATATGTCATACAATTCAGAATAGGTTAGGAGAGTCTCAATGAGCGTTCCCACACGGCATCTAAAGTCGTTGGTAATCACCTCGACGGGGGAATTTTCCAACTTGATGTTGTCAAATCCGCGTGAGAGTCAATTCATATTTCACCGATTCCTTTCGGTGTTTGTTTTTCGAGCACGGGACGAGAGGTGTTCACTCACAAACGATTTGTCACCCGGGAGCCGAGAACCCGAGTTTTTGCAATAATCTCAGAAACGTGACTAGCGTCTGTCATCGTCTAGGTTGTCTCCACAACTCATTTGAGAGTACATGCAGTCGTGTAGAGAGCTCAAACAGGAAAGCGCCGTTCCAAAGGGAAACCTCTCTCATATTTGAGACCCCGCCGTGTATCGAAATAGCTGTCTAATGATTCGAGTTGTCATGTACCGAGCAATTCGAATTCCGCGCCACCCAGTCTCAGTGCAGAATGCTGTTGCGATGGGGCCGCTGATGCAGCGGGCGAACCGGCTGTGCGCCATATACCTGACGGATGCGTAATTCGTTCGGAAAACACTGACTGTTCATGAGGCTGGACAACGCTTCACGGTGTCCCCGTCGCTCACCATTCCGACGCTGGCACTCACTGGCGATTCGGACGATTGCTGGCTGGAATCCGTACGACTAGTATCCACCGGCTGCTCCTGAATGCGATCGAAGGCGTCGCACAGTGGGGCCAAATCGAATTTTAGGTGGACAAATGTCCATGGAAATCGATCCCGGAATTTTGATTGGTTATGGGTTTGAAAATGTTCGTAAGACTCTGAAAGTCGCGGGGAAACCATGATTACCGCATTTCCCGCATCCCCCAGCCACCCTGGCACCTGCGAGAATAAAATTGTTTTTTTATTTTCACGACGATTTTCATGAATTTCTCCCCCCAATCGGTGATGCTCGGAAATGACCATACTTCGTGCCCCCGCATTGGGGGGAAATTATATTCTGCGCTCAGTTCCCATCCTGATCTCGCAATCCCACATGATTCCGGTCGAGTCAGCCGATTCTGGACTTGCTGGGTTGGATTCGAAAAACTACATGAGAAAGGTCCCGATCCACGAGATCGGCTCCCAACTTCGGCTGGACAGTATTCGAGAACCGCTGGGTTTCGCGCCTCGATTTTTTTCCTGCGGCCTGCAGAGGTCCGAAGCTCCCCATAAAAGAAATCAGAGGGGGAACACGTGGGGACACCGCATTTCTGACATCGAGAATTTCACGAATCCCCGAACGTATTCGTCTCGGCGAAAAAGTCTTCCCAGAGAGTCCAGAATCGGCTGGCATCGAGCTAGGGGTCCGTCCCGGGCAGCATCGGGAGTAGGTTCGCCACTGTCGCCAGGCAGAGCCTTCGAATGGCCACAATCATCCCTCGAATATTTTTCTCCCATAGTCGATGCTTGTCCTATGGGTTTTAATGGAAGGAGCACCCCTCTCAATCCTAGGCTCCCTGGCTTGAAAGACTCGTCACGGTCGGCCGCATTAGTACCTGGATGTTCGTTGTAGCGAAGTTGGTCAACCCTCAGCTCTTCCGAAAGCCGACCGAAATCTTGGGGAAAAAATTCGGTCGAACGCTTTTCGTCGTGAGGAGGTTGTGCTGTATCCGTGGCCTACCTAGCCCGTACGACGCCCTTGGAGAAGGACAGAAATGCACCTTCCTCGTCTCGTGTATTTCCCCTTTCAGAGAGAATTCAATGGCTGCAGTCATACCACATGTTTGGAGTGACACTTTACGAACTCATATCCAAGGTGTCTATTAAGGTTCCGTAATCGAATACTTTGATGGCCTCTCTCGCCCTTTTCTCACGATCGAGGTATGTCAATCTACCTTGCCCTTTTGAAGCCCGGTGATAGGATAGAATCGGATTCACTTTTCTGAGTTCGAATGACGGCTCTCTCTTAAATAGTGCGGACCGGGATCTCGATTCCGCGCCATTCTGGAATTGGAGCCCGGGAAATGTGCCCTCGTTGCCCCCTGCCTCCCCTAGTCCGCTACTATTGTACTGCACATCTAATCGGACACCTCGGTTTTCCGGCTCCATCGATCAGAGTTGAGAGCCTGAGATATCTTGCCGCGAATCTACCTCGGATTCGCGCTCCGCCGCCGTTCAACGAGCCGATTCGAGCTCCCCATTTCCTTGAGCGCGTCTATATTGTCTCGAGTTGCTCGGCATGCTCACACGTTTGAAAGTGATTAGACGGACCTTCAGACAATTGAATGATCGTTCACGGGCATTGGACGACCGCTCCTAATACGAGGATTCTACGACCTGAAGGTGGTTGGATAGACCGATCTAGAGGATCTGAGACAGAGTGGCGATTCGCGGTGCCGAGAATCTGATAGCCCACTACCTTCCGAGAGGACCTGTAGAGGAAGGAGCTCTTTGCGAGTTGGGACGGCCCGGTGGGGTAGGGGGAAGAGCAGAAAACATCTCTTTGCACCGCAAACGAGCCGTGTCTCTGTCTCCGGATTCATATCGCGATACCAAATCTCAGAGGTGCGATAATTCTGTCCGACGAGAGTTGGGTTCGACTGGCTGAGGACCGTTGCGCGGCTCGCGAACTTTCCGCAATATTTCCTCGCCATCTCCCGGTCGGAGATGGAATCCTTCGATTGCTGATTCATTGCGATGAGGTGTTGAGCTTGAGGTGAACGCCAAAATTTCCCACGGTTTCACTCCTCAGAATTTTTCGAATGATGTGAACGCAATCGAAAGCTCAGAGAGAAAGGGAATAACCCTGCTGATATCAGGACAGCTCCAAAGATTCTATTGCAACGAATCAATGCTCAGAGTCATCTCTCAATTTTCACGGTCGTTCCGATACAATTATTCTCTTGCTCTTCGTGAGGAAACGCGGCGGCTCCTTGTCATCGTCAGAGCTCTCATGGCTGTGGATGTTTTCTTCAGAGCCAAATAGGAGATTGGGGCTCCTCGGATCCCAAACATGAACCGAGCCTTTCAAAGACTTTGGGCTTTCTTAAGGAGAGTGCGCAAGCTAGGCGTGGCTGACGTGTTCCCGCCAGCTCGCCGGCTAGACAGCCAGCCAGCCTGCCTACCAGTCTGTCGACCGACCGACTCATTACGGAGATTACCGAAGAATTCCGACAAAGGATTTCGAGGGGTGAGTGTTGAGAGGCGACGCGGCACGAAACCTTATAGGTCTGTCGGAATCATCCACCATCGAAAGCACTTAAGGATCCAACGAATGAGACATTGGGTCCCGTGGAGTCGCTGTCCTCGCCCGTTTCCCCGCTTTCCCGTTTCCCCGCTTTCCCGTTTCCCCGCTTTCCCGTTTCCCCGCTTTCCCGTTTCCCCGCTTTCCCGTTTCCCCGCTTTCCCGTTTCCCCGCTTTCCTGGTTCCCCACTTCCCGTTTTCCCAATTTCCCTTTTCCCATTTTCCATTTTCCCACTTTCCCGTTTCCCCACTTTCCCGTTTTCCCCACGTTTCCCGTTTTCCCCACTTTCCCGTTTTCCCCACTTTCCCGTTTTCCCCACTTTCCCGTTTTCCCACTTTCCCGTTTTCCCACTTTCCCGTTTCCACACTCTCCCATTTCCCCCACTCTCCCGTTTCCCTGCTTTCCCGGTTCCCCACTTTCCCGATTCCCCACTCTCCCGTTTCCCCGCTTTCCCGGTTCCCCACTTTCCCGGTTCCCCGCTTTCCCGTTTCCCCGCTTTCCCGTTTCCCCGCTTTCCCGTTTCCCCGCTTTCCCGTTTCCCCGCTTTCCCCGTTTCCCCGTTTCCCGTTTCCCGTTTCCCCGCTTTCCCGTTTCCCGCTTTCCGATTGGCGGCGGGGTTCAGCTCAATAGGGTTCAGTCCATATGAGCTAGTTTTTGGCCGGAAGCCCAGAGATCTGGTGCTCTTGGGAAGCGGAGACGACATGGAACCGACGGAAATGGATAAATGGACCATAAGCGAATGGCAGAGGAATGGAGAAAACTGTCGTTCGAAAGAATCGTGAAGGATGAGGAAAACCGAAGCGATGCAGAGAAAGGAGAAAGTTGGTCCCGCTTCACAGAGGGCCATACTCAATTGCTGAGTGTGAACCGCCCACTTACGTACCGAAGATGAACGGCTGAAGGTGGGTTTATCACGGCGTTCATTTGAGGCTCTTCCTGAAGCACGGCAACCTCGATGTGCTTGACACAAGGTTCCCCGAACTCGAGGAACCCACCGGAGAAAGCAGCAGCGACGAGGAGGCCGAAACGGAAGACCATCCGGAGGAAATCAACGACGTTTCAGAAGACCTTGGAGCACCGGGACAGGAACCTTCCGAACTCCGAGGGGAGGAAACGGAGGTAAGGGGACAAAATTCCAGAGAATAGGAAAGCCAAACCGGCTTCTGGAACCCCCGGCTGAATTTCCTGCCGTCGACGAGCCGTCATGGGCGGAATATCAAGAAAAACCCGAAGTACATATAACGAAGAGAGATAAGCAGACCGAAGGGTAAACTCGAAGGGAGGGTGAATGATGGGTTCTAGGTTGAACATTATGGTGATTACGAGGTGGACGAAGTGATTGAATGTTCTAGAACAATCAGAGGAGAGCGAGAAGCCGATAAGTTACTTCGTTCCCTCTCCCCGGCGCGTTATGAAATCCTTTATAAGGAAGCGGCAATCACAATAAAAGCTGTTACAGTCTCATACACGCGTTATCTGCGTCGTTCTTCCTCAGGACGTGAACTGGGGGTTCAGAACCTAGGGCAGCGGCACAAACAGAAATCGAAAGGAATTATACCGAAGGCGATCAGCGAGATATAGGCCAATGAAAAAGTGAAAAAATGAACGAGGAAATATACCACAGCGCGTCTCATACAGAATCTCCATGAATCCCGGTCATCTGCTTGTGAGGCTCGTTCTTCGGCATCGCTTTCCTGCGACATCTTGATTAATTTCTCTCTGATGCCCCGAAGGGAACTCATCTTCCTTGTAGTCATGTTCATCCTCACTGGATATTGATGAAGTCTTTTGATTTTCAGGATAGAACCCGCTCGACGGAAGGGCCGGTTCTCGTGTGATCCCATCCTTTCTTCGGAATCATCTAAGATCCGGAGTCTTCAACGTTGCGATTGGAGCACGATGAGTGTTTCAGTTGAGGGTATGATGAGTGAGGTAGCTGGTGAGAAGCATCAGCGATCCGAAGAATCACTCGCAACGGCGTCTCGAGCTACAATGGAAAAAAAAGCGTCAACGTTGGCCAAATCGAAGACGTTATTTCTCGCGGGAAAGCGGAGTCGATTCCTAGTCACGCATTCTGGTACCGAGTTTCCCTCGATATGAGGTCCTGTCTTGTATCTCTCGAGCCGACGGAGAAGGCACTTCTTTATGGTATTTTATTTCTCACCGGTCCAGAACCACCTGGATTT